CTTTTCAATGACTGTTATATCAGGCATGTTATGAACAAGATGCCTGTCTGTTTGGATCTTAAAGTCAGATAAAATCTTAGCTTGCTCATTTTGCAAAACCTTCTCCACTTGATGGTTCCAGTGGTTCTTACTACATCCAAAGGTTGTAGTAACATCCAGAGGTTTCAGATCCAAACCTCTGGCAAAATTTCCAATGAATAATTTTGGCAACTGGATCACAACACTGCTTGTAGTCAGTTTGTGTAATTTTGGTGCAGCCACTGCTCAGATGGTCAATTGTTTCATCCTTTTCACTACAAAGGCAACATTTGTAGTTGTTTGTTACATCCTGAATGTTCACTTTCATGCAGTTAGTTGGCAAAGCTTGTTCTTGAGCTGCTAAAATAAAGCCTTCAGTTTCTTTCTTTAATACTCCTGATCTTATCCAACTCCATGTGAGGTTTTTATTGGCTTTTCCTTCTATATCCTTCAAATATTGACCATGCATTGGCTTGTTCTTCCAATTAACAAATCGGTTTTCAATTGTTTCTTTTCTATACTCATCGTTCACCTTTGTTGTTTTCAAGAGCTTTTCTTGATTGAGTTCCTTCCATAAGGGTTCTTCACTTTTCTTGATGTAGTCATTCAAACCATGCTTTCTTCCTCTATGGTTTGTTTCACCTATAGGAGTCCTCTGCCCCCTTTGGCTTTTGGCAAATGCAGCCAATTAAATTATTATTTAAATTATTACTGTATACACAACAATGTGAAATCACAGCTGCCAGTTCTTTAGCTGATGTTGGTCTTCATTCGCATCAAGTTCTTCCCAAGAACCTAGGATGTGGTAACATGTCAGCATAGTATATGTACGGATCCAAGCAGTGTAGCCTTTTGTAATTGACAGATGGAAATTTTGTCAAGGCGCAGATTTTCTAAGTGCCGTCCAAGATTTTTTGGTATGGCACCCATTGTGCTGATAACCACTAGGACTACCACTGCCAGTTTATGCCATAAAATTTCAACTTTGGTTTTCAGATCTTGATACTTTATGATCTTCTTCAATTCTTTGTCTTCTATTTTATTATCCCCTGGTATTGTCACATCAATTATCCACACTTTCTTCTTTTCAACCATAGTTAAATCTGGTGTGTTGTGTGCCAAAACTTTATCAGTTTGTATTCGAAAATCCCACAGTATTTTAACCTGCTCATTTTTTACTACTTTTTCAACTATATGTTCCCACCAATTTTTTATTACTGGCAGATGATAATTTTTACAGATGTTCCAGTGAATCATTTTGGTGACTACATTATGTCATTGTTTATAGTCAGTTATTATTAAATTCTTATTGTTGGTCGCACAGTCAGCCAGTTGTTTAGACTGGATTTGGCATTTTTATCCACCTATCAAGTCCTTTCCAAGGTGCTGGGATAGGCAGATGTTGTTGTTTGATGATGTTAAAGGTATTGTTGCAGGAAAAAAATACAGTAAGAAACAAAAATAAAGAATAAAAGGTAGAAAAGATGACAGAAACTGGACTGAAATGGAAAAAAGAAACACACTCAAACAATCAAAGGGGACTTCACTCACCCTTGCAAAGAACCAGGTCTTGAAGCCCCTTTGAACACTGGTAGGTGGAGGCCGTCCAGACCTCAGGAGGAACCCAATTCCAGAGAGAAGGTGCTATGACAGAGAGGGTGCACTTCCGGGGTCCCAATAGATGGCATTGTTTAATTGAAGGAGCCCAGAGCCCACCAGCTGTACCAGATCAAATTGGACAGGCAGATGGAGACATGGGGAAAGACCTATGTTAAAAGGGTCACAAAGCCTTGATTCAATTGAGATAATTTTCCCAGATCTGTTATTGGAGTAAAAACCTAATGACCTCCAGGTCTATCAGACTACTATATGTCTGAGGCTAATAGAAATTGTAGTCCCCCAGGGTTGGGACACCAGATTGGGGAAGCTTTTTCTATTCTTCATTCACAGTTAATAATATGGATTAGCTTCTAAGGAGCCCTTCCCCTCCTGATAAACTTATATCCATTCTCAAACCTTCATTCTGGTTTTGACTATGGTTGGTTGGTTGGTTATCAGTTGTTATGGAGCAGCAATTGCCCAATGCCTAATCTAGTCTAGACAACTTTTTTTTTTCAGGGACCCAAATGGCCAGATTCCCTTCTCTTTTTATTTATTTTTTCTTTCAATTTTCAATTTTCAATTTTCAATTTTCAATTTTCAATTTCTCTCTCTCTCTCTCTCTCTCACACACACACACACACACACATTCTGCACTTCCACCCTTCTCCCTATATGGAAAGCAAGTCAGATATAAGTTTGGAGAAAAAATTCAGAAACAATTCTGTAGAAAGAGGTGAAATAACGCTGGTTGCCTCTAAAGAGGATGTGGATTTATATTTGTGCTACATAAAAATTGCTTATTCTGGCCAGGATGCTGTTTCTCCAACCCATTTCTTTTAAAGCACTGGGATACTATTAGTTCAGATTAAAATGATTAAATTTAATTTGGGTTGAATCTTCTCTGATGGAAGGGTCTTGAATATAATGAAGACTTATCACTGGAAAAAAAGGAAGGCAGTTTTTCTCTTTCTCCTGTGGTTTCACACAACCTACCCCCCCCCCATTTTTCAAAGTATCTTTCAACTTTTGAATCAGATTATGGGGTGCAGAAGACTGCAGGGGACAGGAAAGGGAAGTTGTGGACACCTGTTTCTCTTTCTTGCCTGATGAAAATCTCTATTAGAACCAAAGGCTATATCCATCATAGAGGGAGACCTTACCTTTACAAAACTCTTTGAGATATGCCAATAATGTTATTATTCCAATATTATAAAATATCAAATGTGTTTGGCCCAATGAGCATACTGGAAAATTTGAGACAGTGCTGTGAGCTTTCATGCAAAATGGATGCCTTGGGGAACAAAATGCACAGCATCTGGGATGCATTTCTTCCCTCTCTGCTACTTTCAAGAAGGAATAGTCTCCTTCTTGAAAGGAGCTAGTCTCAAAGCCTATTCATGGGGCTTGGCCTGGCTTAAGGAAGATAACTGAGATCAGGTATAAAGAGCTCAGTGGGGAAAACTATAGGCTTGAATAATCCATAGGGCACACTACTATTCCAGACCTTAAACTCAATTGAGGATGTAAGAAGACTGAAAAACAGGTGATTCCTTAATTCCATCCTTTGTTCTGATGATTCTAAAGATTCCTGATGCTTTCTGAAGGCTGGACAATGCAGAAACTATAGATGAGTCTGAATCTGAGCTTTCTCATAATGGAAGGGCTGTATAAGGACAAGTGAATGGGTTATGACTATTGCAACGAGATCACCACCCTATTCCATGTGGACTGGATTGGGACTGGCATGGAATATATTTACCTGAACTACTGTATTTCTATCCCAAGTGAATGTATGTGTGTGTATGTTGTGTGTGTGTGGAAGCGGGTGTATCCTGAAGCAATTTACCATAACCATGAAAATATTTCAGAATAGACATGTTTAAAAAGGATTTTAAAGGATTGAAGTTAGTACTGAGTCCCACCATATAGCTGAGGGGAAGTCACTTTACAGGACAGGAATTGCTCTAAAGAAGGCTGCCCTCCAAGTCATCATGAAGTTGGCAAGTCCCACAGCACAAAGAGCAGGATCTCTCCCCCCACCCCTACCCTCACCCCACCACGGTTGTGGGGGCATGATATAATTGAAGTTATATCTTTATTCTTTAAGATAACCTGATGTCAAGTTTCTCTACTGCTGCTAACACTAGCTTTCTCTTTGTCTCATGAGCAGATAGAAATCCATTGCCATCTAGTTTTTGCTTTATACGCAGGATAAGCCCAACGTATTCATGCAGAACTCTGTCCCCACAGCTCAAGAGCAGACAGCAAGCTACTCTCTGAACTATCCTCGCAAGCTATCCTCCCTTCTTTGAAGTCAGATTTGATCTTATCTGAGAGCAAGAGGACAGAATCTTCTTCAAGCCTGCCTTCTTCCTTGGAGGACAAAATCCCAGGAAAGAAATGTAGGTGTGAATTCTCTCTTTTCAAATGGGGCCCCGGTTGCCTGGCTGAGTCAGACATGCAGCACGTGCAGCACGCACATAACCACAACACCCCAATGTAATCCAGGTTAATTTCTTGATTTGTTCCACCTCTGGTAAATAAACTACTGCAATCAGTAAAGACAGCAAAGATGAAATGATCATGTCTTAAATTGAGCCCCACTAAGCCCTAGCTTTAAAACCCAAAACTAGAGAATGGTGAAATGTACCTCCCATCCTGACTGGATTATGAAATAATTTTTCCACCCTGATTCACTTTCATGCAAAAATGGGAAGTCAACTTTGTAGTGCACAACCCATGCAGATGTGAAAGAATAAACATCCAAAATCATCCCCACACATTGGTATTGAATTGATTCAGGTATATAATTCAGGATATTCCCAAATAAAACTCTTGTCCCATATAAAAGTAAGAACCTTGAACAGAGTGCAGTGATTACTGGAATCACCAAAGACTTCTCAAGAACAAATTTTATTTCCCTTTTTGTTTGCTAACTTCCATAGTATATTGTAGGACTACTGTGGCATAATATATCCTGATTTCAGTGAAATGTTCAAAAAATTGCCTTTTAACATTATGATTAATAATCTAGTTAAGCAAGGACTGGATGGCATATCTATTGGGTAGTTCCACACCTGGCTTGAAAATCATACTCAAAGAATATTAATTAATTGTTATTTTTCTAACTGGAGTTAAGCATCAAGTAGAGTATCATTGGATTCAGTCATGGGCCTGGTATGCTTCAGAATTTTTACACATTACCTAGACAAAGAGATGGAGTACATCCTTATCAAATTTGCAGTTGAAAATTATCTTGAGAGGTTGGAGAATTGGGCTGAAAGGAACAATAAAAAGTTTTACATTTTTTACTTAAAAACCTCAGTACCACTACCTTGAATTAGGCAAAGAGGAGGGCATATGGATAGGCAAAGAAGAGGGCATATTGGGCATGGTAATCTTATATATGAAAAGGGGTTTGGAACTCAAGTTGATCATACACTGAATATGAATCAACAGTGTAACACAGCTGCTAATAAAGCAAATGCAATCTTAGGCTGTGTCAATAGAAACATACTTTCCAAATTGTAGTACATAATACTTCCACTGTATTTTACATTGCTAGGACCCCATCTGGAGTACTGTGTTCAATCTGGGGCACCACATGTTAAGAAAGATTCAGAGAATATGGAACAGGTGCAGAGAAAGGAAATGAGGATGATCAGGGACGGAAAATTATGTCTTATGAAGATAGACTGGAGTACCTCTGTTTAACTTTGAGAAAAAACCAAGGGGGGAGTATATGATAGCAGCTTTCAAGCATGAGAAAAGATGCCCCACAGAAGAAAGTTAGCTCCTCTTTGCTGTTGTCCTAATATAGTGCAGGTCATAGAACTATATTAAATTATAGGAAGTAGGTGCCAGTTGAATATTATCAGAAACTTTCTAAATTTTTAATAAGAGCAGTTGGATAATAGAACTAATCAGAGAGGTGGTGCTCCAATGTCAAGGAGTCACATTAAGTTACCTTTCCCTGAAGTGCCTTGAAATGCTGTCCAGTTACTGAACAAATAGTGTAATGAACAATTTAGGGTATGGGTGTTTTTTTTTAAATGTAATGGCCAATTTTACTAACCCAGAAATTAAAAAAAAAAAGGAAAGGAAAGGAAAAAGGGAAAAAGAGAGATTACAAACATAATACATATACAGCACACATGCATATATTCTTTATTGTTGTTGTTCTGGGGTAAGTGTTTTGAGGCTTACCGTGGATGTTTTAATTTATGTTGTATGCTTTTTTTTTAATTTTTGTAAAAAAAAAACAGGGATAAATATCAAAAGCAAATAGAAAACAAAAACCTGGAAATCAGTTAGAAAGAAATCCTTCCTTGTAGATTTTTCAAACCTGTTTGTTCTCTTAATTTGTACCCAGGGCTATTTCCCAACCTCTTTGATAACACGGATTCAACCAAAGATGTATTTTCAATTGCCAGTGTTTTATGATAAGGAACCCGGCAGCTGACAAAAGAAATAGAATCAATGTCTTATGTTGCACTAATTGATACCTGTTAGGAAATAAGGGTAACACGCCAACAGCAGGATTCACTATGAAACATTGTTAAACAATTTCTCTAATTTGTTCAAAAACTTTTGTCCTAAAGAATTGCCTGATCGGTCATTGCCTTTAAAAACGGTAATTATGCACCAATCTAGCAAATCTAGGAGGCTTCCAATTCTTCTGCTTCTCTCTTCCTGTGTATCTCTCAGTGTCCAACAGAAACCTCTTGTATCCACAACTTCACAGCTCTTATACAGTACTTTTCCCCAAATCCTAAGCTTTGTGTCTTCAACTCTTCCAAACAATCCCCCCTCCCTTTTGGAGGTCTGTAATTTCCTTGCAGGCTCTACACTGTCTGGAAAGATGACCCTTTATTTATTTTTATTTCCTCCTATTAATGTTAACATCCCAGGACCCTGTTTCTTCTACTGATTCCTTTCAATTGCCACCCTGGGCACCCAGATCCTAGCACCCAAATTAATTTCCTGGCTTCCAGGGCAACCCTACCAGTTTGCATGAGATGTAGCTATTTTTCAGCCCTGCTGTAACCTTTCAGATTACACTTTAGCATATTCCATCTTAAAAGTTTTTAACTATTATTGAATACTGCATCCTCCTTCAGAGCAGAAGAAGATAGAAGGAAAAAAACTTTGGATCTCTCTCTCTCTCTCTCTCTCTCCCACACACACACACACACACACACAAACACACACACTCCAAACTGTAATTATATGAAATGACATGAAAAGTAATAAAAATTCAAGGTCATGAAGACTTCCATCAATGTAAAAATCTAACCTTGCTAGTCTCAGTACTGTTCAATGTCTACCCAAAGCAAACATATCATTTCTTCTGAAGCTTTACTGGCAAAGATGAATGGGTCACATGAGGATAGCGGTTCCGCTTTCCCAGTCACAGATCTGGCTCCCACCCTGGATCCTTGGAAGCTCACTCAGCTTGGTCTTTCTCTTGGGCAGCTGTCAGAGGAGGAAATATGTCCCCACTTGGTGCACACCCCCTTTCTACAGGAATGCAAAAGGTGAGTGCTGCAGAGTTCAACTCTCATGGGAACATTGCTATTATTACTGTTTCATTAGAGAAAGGAGAATTTTCTTTATCCATTTATCAACCATGTTTCCTTCTCCTGATGCAATGCACATGCTGCTGTGTATATAGCATTCCCAGGATATGGAATGCTTAGGATACGGCATTCACAGCATATCTGTGTGCAGTTGTGCAATAAAAGCTTTGAGTTCTGTCTCACAACTCTCCATTCCATTTGCAAGTCACACCGAGGCCCTTCAAAGCCAACTCATGTTCCCAGTTTGTTCTTGTTATTAGCAGATTGAAAATACATACGGCGTATTTGCTTGCATTGTTTATCACCATCTTGCTTATACAGACAACTGTTATTGCCTTGAAACTTTCCTTTTCCATACAGAGTTTTGAGCACCAGCATGCTTCAGTCGTTGCTGCTATATCTTCCTGGGCTTACTCTTGGCCCCGTTGCCTCTTTCCCCACTGCATATCCTGTGATCTTCTCCCCGAGTACCGCTAACCAAATGAGGGGGCAAGCTGGGCTGAGGCTGGCAAGCAGGGCAGGCAGGCTGAAAAGTGCATGGAAAGCGCGTCCCAGCTGCACTTGAAACAAGAGGAGAAGAAAAACCTGCTTTCCAGGAGAAGGGCAGGACCTGGAATTTCTCTAGGGGTCAACAGCTCCACTCGACCGCTGGTCTTGTAAGATGGCTGGGTCTGTGGTCAGGAGCAGACCCCAGGTATAATTCTCATGTGAGAGGACATACATCTGGCAATCCAGGAATAGTGTTAGTTTCAGAAGAAGAGGTCAGCTATATCAGAGCAAGGAGCAAATTCCCAATTACATTTGGTAAAGCACTCACAAACTGCTTTTCCTGTGCAAGTTGTACTCAGTTGTACTGTATGCGTATTAAGTAAACCCCACTGAGTCCCATGAGACTTACAGATAAATATATATTGGACTGTGCTTCAGAGCAGCTAGTCAGCTTTTCAGTCTGTAGCTCTACCCTGAGCTACTTGAGATTTAGCATTATTCTAAATTAGATGGGGGGTTTTTTCCTTCCCTGAGGGAGACTGCACTCAAACATGAGCCTTATTTTGCATATTGCTTGTCAATCTGCAACATAGCATCCATGCAGTTCCTCTGTGTTCTCCCTCCCCACCTGCCCCTTGTAATACTTCTATATCAGTAGACAGGCTCAGGAGTATTTGGACTTCTGTGTACTTATCTGACCTACTGGTCTCAGCATCTCTTCCCTCCAAATCTTTTATTAATTCAGTTTATATAAGCATTTTTTAAAAGTTTAAATTAAAATCCCAGGATATTTCAAGTATTCAGCACCTCTTGTGGAGCCCTCCCACCATTCCGCAAGCCAACTGAGTAAGATATATGGTAGCTGCAATACCAGATAGGAAGGCAAGGAGGAACATCTGTTTCATTAATATCTGACTGGTCTTGGCTGAGATCTGCTTGATGGGACTATACCATCCAGTTGTTAACTGCTTTCCAGGGCTGGCACTTAAGGCAGGCTTGTTTGGGGAGGTGCGTGGCATAAATTTATTTTTGTTGGGCCCCTGAATTAAAGATGTCTACCTGTCATATTTTGGTACATGCCCTATATTTATAGCATTGTCTGTGCAGAATTCCACAACTAGTAGTAATCACAGTTGGCCCCCAAACCCTATAATCTGATTCCAGAGTTGTCTTCAGGGAGCTGGTCTTTGAGAAAAGTCTTGATTTTATGCAGTACTGTCTCTCCCACCATACCACTTGCCTTGCTTTGTTCTTCTATTCTGTTAGAGTTTAGCTACTTTTTATCAAGCTTTACTTATTCTTCTGGAAGGTCTGTCATACCCTAAGGACCACCTTTGTAATCAGCCACACGCTCATAGAAAAGCACGGGTTTTTAATAAAAGTTTTGAATACTCAACCCATCTATATTTGCTCCACATTCTTTGTTGCCTTCTTCTTTTAGATGCCAGGCTGACACCAGCTCTCTAAGGATTGTCAACGTGCACCGTAAAGGCAAATTTATCAGAATCTTCAACTGTTTATTGAATAAGGAGGTTGACCTAAGTGGCTACATCATCCAGCAGTGGGTTGGAGGGTATCCAGTCTCTATCTACCATTTCCCAAAGGGTGTTGTTCTGCCTGCACAGCACCACATCACCGTAAGCATCAGGGACTCTTCTCATTTGCCAATGCTCACGTGATGGGATCTCACACTGCCGACATGCACATAGGATCCTGTATGTGTGGGAGAACATGCAGGGTATCTGGGTTCAGCATTTGCTGCCAAAAGCCCAGTTACTCAAACCACAGAATCTTTTTTACAATTAGCCCCCAATTTTTATTTCTCACCCATCAAGTGAGTTAAGAAAGTGCTTAAGCACCCATACGCACTTTCAGACAAAAGCCTCTTTAAAGTACCAGTCAAAAAAACAATGTGCACCTTTCCCTTTTTTCCTTGCTCTTGGGTGTCCTTGTTGTGGACAGAAAAGTATCAGAAGTATGAGAAAAGATGGGAGGGTAACAAATGGAAAATAATAAAACTCTGCGCCCAACATTAAATTTTATAAATGAGGCAGAGTGATTGCACAATGAAACCTTTCTCCAGAAGCAAGTGGTGATTCTAATCATTCTGAAAAGTGATTCATACAATCAGATGCCTTTCCTCACAAACTGGCCTTAGCAGAACCCAGCCTTGCTCTGGCCACTAAAAGAGATGCCGATGTAATGATGCCGTGTCTTGGCACTCTTTGCACTCACATTGATGCTGGCAGATCTTTTCTAATATGGAAATCCAGTGAGTTGAGGGTGCAGACATCACATGGCTTGGAATGAAGACTAGTGTACTGGGGACCAGGGTAAAATTGGGGCTATCAGATCATTCTAGTGACTCTGAAAATCCTAAGTGAAGAAAGGTGCTCCCTTGCTTGCTCACTCTCTGTCAGTGCCAAACATGGATATGAATAGGAGAGAGCTTGCCTTGATAGTTTGAAGGAAATGTGGAAACTGGGTAGAACAATCTTCCCATTTGCTCCCTTTTATTGCTGAGATGGAACCTCTGATATATACACGTAGAGAAATGAGGAGCAGCTGCTGTGGTTCCATTTCCTCTCTGCCTGGCCCTTGCTCTGTTACTTGCAAAAGAAGAACCCTGCTGGACCACATCAGAAGCCCATGTAGTCCAACCTTCTGTTTCCCACAGTGGCCTACCACATGACCCAGGGAGCATCCTTTTATTCATGTTAGCATACAGAATCTTACTGCCTTTGATGGGGAGATAATGAGGACCAGTAACTATTTGTTGTCTTATCTGTGAAACTATTTTCCATTTAATTTGGTGGCCATCATGATATCTAGCAGCAATGAAGTCCATATTTATGTTAGCCATGAGAGAGCAAAATCACCAGAAACGTGTTGAGAGAGAGGGCTGCACTAGAATCATACGCACAGGAGAGGCACTGGACATCTTTTTCAAAGCCCACCTCTCCACTGAGCTTAGCAATGCTTTCTCTTCCCCAGTTGTGATACTTAAGATGTACACTTCCATATGTATATCTTGGCCCAAGGGGGTTCCAGACCAGCAGGAGACAGTCAGAAGGCAGTGCAGGATCACAGCTGATCGATCCTCAAGCTGCAAATATTCCAGTCAAAAAGTATACTGTTTGTATACTCTAACGAGATACCAAAGGGCAGATGACATATTCAGTGCAAAGATAAGGGGCCTTTTAAACTTTAAAAATTCCTTTGCAATGAGATTAGTATTTAAGACTATGGAAAAAGTAGAGACAGATGGGCTAACTTATTACTCCAGCCCACCTTTCCCCTGCCCTAAATTGGCTCTAGAGATAGTTTTGGTTTTCATGGGGTTGCAGATATTCATGTTTTTTTTTGTTTTGAAGCTACCAGGCTACTTGCATACATCTTATTCATGTGCACTGTTTGATAGGTTTGGGCTGCAGGGGCCAACCTGGCTCATGAACCATCTTCATTTTCCACCACACAGAAGTTTTTCAGAGCAGGGCCTGAGTGTCTTACCACTCTTTGTGATTGTCATGGCCAGGTAAGTTGTCTTGGCTAATAGCTGGAAAGTGAAGGTAGCCACTGCTTTGTGGGTGAGTGGTTGGTTGGGTTCTGACTGTTAAAACGGAAGCTGCTGCAGTTTCTGCCAAGTATTAGGAAACAAATCAGTGCTGGTTCAGCTCCTTTCTCCAAGGCCGAACCCAGTCGGTGTTGATAGGGAGCAAGAGGTCCAACCCATGGCCCCTACTCTGTGGGGTGCCTCAGGGTTTGGTGCTCTCTCCGCTCCTTTTCAACATCTACATGAAACCGCTGGGTGAGGTCATCATGGGATGAGGTATCATCAGTATGCTGATGATACCCAATTATACATCTCCATCCCGGGTGACCTAAGTGATGCTGTGACTACCCTCTTGCTGGAGGCTGTAGGGGCCTGGATGGGGGACAACAGGCTTCAATGGAACCCTGGTGAGACACAGTGGCTGTGGGTACAGGGAGCCTCAAGATCTAGGAGTTTATCATCTTTGGTTCTTGATGG